TATACCATTGCAATGGTCTCAGTAGCTAAACAGACAAGAGAGCGTATTTACCTTGTAAGCAGTAGGGATTTACAGCACTAACTCCCAAAAATGCTTCTGCTAGGTATGAAGCCAAAGCTGGAAGTCACTTTGTTGTTCCAGTCATAAACCTGGCTTTACAAGCAGAAGTCTGCAAGGGACTGGCTAGCTTAGTTTGTAAACCCAAGATACATGGGTCCCTCTGTGCCTATCACTCACTTTTGTGAAAGTTTTTCTCTTTCCAGAATCCTGTTCTTCTCTCACTGCTCCCAGAAAGCGAGGCTGATAGAAAGGAAAGGTACATGTGCTCAGAGAGGGTTGGGATAAATCTGAAACTAACCATAGCAACTATAGTTTGACTTCTTTCGAGCTTTTTGATTTTTCCAGGTGTGCAAGTGCCCCACGCTGGGGCAGGTGGAAGGAGGAGGCTGTGCTATGGTGCTCTGCTCAGCTGCACTTGAGCCCGCCCAGTGTGCTCAGACATCAACAACTCAAACTGTTGCAGAGCTTGCTCTGCCTTGGGGGTATCTTAAATCCCCCCAAAATAGGCAGTTCTAGAAGCTCCTCCATGAAGTTAGATCTCACCCCCTAGCTAAACCAGCAACGACGTACTCCCTTACTGAGCAGTAACAGACCCAGCTTTTTATAACAACGGCTCTGTATACGCACGCCAGCAGGACTCCTTTCCGTGTTAAATACACGGTTGTTCCATTAAGGCTCATCCCAACACAAGTTGATGTTCAGGACAACTTTATTCCCTTTTCCTATTAAAAATCTATCTACATCAAAGATGAAATCTAGATGCTCCCAGAGCTGTGATGAGGTTGTTTTTATAGCTATTTGAGCAGCATGTTATACCTGCTTATTTGAAGATGATGATATTTGTATTGTTGCTAAGAATTCATGCCAAGCATAATTTTGGGGAGTTGTGAAGATATCATATTTGCATATTTTAAGTATTGATATAATACAGAATTCTTTTTATGTCTCTTTTCACAGCATAGTAATGCTTTTTCCATTGCATGACAACCTTGAGTATAGGAAAAAAAAAATCAAAAAGAGAAGTTTTTTTTTTTAGAAAACAGATTTTTTTATTTGACTTTCATTTTGCCATCCCTTCACTTTGTCACTTCAGTTTGGAGCATCCCTTACGGCTCATGACCTGCTTTATATCATCTGGATAAAAACAGTAACTGCATATAGATATAGGCACTTCACACAGTAATGCCTTAATCAAACAATGAAATGACTGTATTCTGAACAAGAAGTTTGTTTTTTTTTTTCTAATGCTCTATTTCTGGTCTTGCGGGCTTTATGACAGACCCTGACATAGAAGATAGCCAGCACAGATTCTATGAATCTCTTCCTTCTTTCCTTCCTCTTCTGCCCCTTTGATTAATCTCAGTCCTTCCTCTGCCCTTCCCTCTCTTCAACCTTTAAGTATAGAGAGGCTTTATTTCTGGCCCTGCAGGCTTTGTGCCAAGCTCTGGAATAGAAATAGCTACCACAGCCTATGAACTTCTTTCTCTTTGCTGACCAATTTCAGTCTTTATTTCCCTTTTTTTTCATGCTTTTATTAAATAGCTTTTCTGCCTTGCATTTCTGCCCTGCTCAGAAAGCACTCTCCTGAATCAGCCTCCTGTCCAGGCAGCAAAGCAGCCCACCTCCAAATTAAAGACTGCTGCTTGGCAATAGAAGCATGCTAGCCTCAGGGCAGGGGATTTAAAGAGAGCAAGCAGCTCAGTTGGGCTTCAGGATGTGCTAATGAGCAGCACATGTTACTGGTGCAAGTCTGCAGTTGTAGGAGCTTTGAAGTGAGGAAAAAGCTGAGAGGGAAGGTGGGGAAGAAGGGAATTAAGGGAAAGATATTATCTCTTCTTTTGTACTCTAATTATACATAAGGTTCACTTTCTGGGTAGTGAAGGGTATCTATAGTGTGTTTTAATTGTCTGGAAGCCCTCAGCTGCTTGGCTGGTGCATGCTTTTGAGCTGTGTGGACTCTAGCATGGTTGTGCTTGCAGAGAGCCTGTCCTGCCAGGCAGGCTGGCTGGTCTGTGGGCTCTTCTCTACCACAGTGTCCAGCACCAGGAGCCTCAGCCCTTTAGGGTTTCTTTGAGGAGGTTTCTGTCTGCGTATGGATTTTCAGAACAGTCAGAGTACATAAATGTGTAGTAGAAGTAGCTAGTGGGAGACCTCTGCCTCAGTGGGCATGCAACTGTCCTGTTGAGGGACTTACCAATGAGCACAAGGACACATTGATGGGGCAATGACAGTAGTCTGGTGAATGGATGGTTGGTCTGGCAGTAATATAAGACTCCTGTACAGCAGCAGAATTTGTTAGTCACTTCAGTTTCCTTTCGTTAGCTTATTGCATTCTAGAATTAAAAAAAAAAAAAAAAAAGAAAACCTGTAACAATATTGAAACACTGCTGAGGGAGGAGTGTTTCTTTAGCCTTAGAAAAACCTTCCATCTCCAGGTCAGGAGAGGCATACAGACAGCCATGGAGCCAGTTTTGGGGACAGAGCAGTAGAGAAATGCTGAGGTTGGGTAATAGGGCCCAGAAATGCTCTCACAGAGGACAAGTTGCTCTGTGAACAGCTGAATTACTTCCTATGGATTCTCATCTTGCATTGCTTAGGCTTTCCTGGGGAGGTTGCTGAAGCAGGATGTCTTCCCTGATTGAGGAATGTGTTTTACCTCACTTAATGCTCTGCAGGAGCCTAGCAGCATTAAGCTTGATTAGCCCAATCTGGTGCTTGATGGCTGCCTATTGCCAAGTCAAGTGCAAGGCCCTGGTTATAGTTGGGACTTTATGCCCAAGCATGTGGTGTAAGGAAAATACCTTCCTTCCTAGCATGCATTTTAGCATTGTCTGGGAGGGAAGTGAGAGTACTTGCTTAAGAGTCAGGGCTGTACCTACAGACAGCCTCCAGCCCTTACCTTGGCTCTGTAGGGTGAGGAATCATGTAAAGCTGTAGTTGTCCTGGCCCACCTGGCTGCAGCATCTCTCATCCTGTGGCTCTGCAGGTCCAGAGGTGACTGGCCCAAGCCTTGGTACCGACCCTGCAGCTCCTGGAATGACAGAAAATAGTGAGCCTTCTGTAGCAGGCACGGGAGCAGTGTCAGCGGCTCAGAAATGAAATTTCTTGCTTTGCCTTGATGTTTTTATTTTCAGAACTGCCTCAGCATTTACACAGAGCAGCAGGAGACCATTATCATGGGATAATGCTCAATTCCATTGACATTATCTACCTCTTAGTGAAAACAAATGGGATCTCTGCCAGGCAGTCATTGCTGGATGGCTGACCATTCTTTATGGATAACGGTTACAAAAAACCCTCTTTTCCATTACAAAGTTTATGCATCTAGCAGTTGGCAATTTTAATATGAAAAATTACCTAGGTTATTTCAAAATGCTGGCAGTTGAAATTCAGTTTGTTTTTGAGGTTGGATAAACAGTTGGCAAGTGCCAATCCTGCCTTTAAGAACTCACTAAAAAACCCAGCATGATTTGATTTGTTTGTACAGCAAAAAGATTGTTCTTTAATCCCTTTGGAGTTGTTGGATTTCATACTCCTGCCAGTAGAACTAATGAAAAATCCTCTGCCATGATGTGTCAAGAAATCCAGAAACAGCCCCCTTACAGTGTCACTTCTCCTGAAGAGAGCAGATATCTTGAAGATGGTGGAACAAGAGACACAACTCCTGGATCCTTTCATGAAACACAGTAACTGCACTACATACTGTAAAGCAGTTCAGCGATGACAGTCTTATTGTATTTGATCTAAAATTGGACCTAATTATTGAACAGGTGCTGTAGAAGTTAAAAAGAAAACAAATCATTTAAGTAGTTTATTTTTTCTCCTCAGTTAGATCAGTACAGTAATATCCACTATTTTTAAAATAATTATTGTAATATTTGTGTTATATCTTAGGTATTCCAAATAGCAATTAATTCTTTAATGAATATCAATGATTAATTCAGTATGTAAACTGTATGAAATAATAACAGAGATTAATTCAGGCATGTTGGACTGGATGGGCACACTCTCTGTGCAAAAAAAAAAAGGTGTGGGGGGGGAAGGAAAGAAGTTCTCATTAAGGAAGAGAGCCATTTGAAGCTTCACAGCAGTTTTAAGAGTAAAATTAAACAAAAATATAGGCTATCAAGATCTTAAATGGCCTACCCTGCACCTCTCTCAGGTTCAACTCAGTTGCTGAAACATATTTACCTAGTGCAGCTTGAGGTGCCCTAGGACACTGGAGACCTCCCCATGGGGCTGGCCGCTGTTAAGTCAGGACCTACAGAAGGGGCAGCTGGAGAGACTGGTAAGAATATCTAATTCATTCAAACACAGTCACCTACATTCAGGCAGCGGAATCAAGCCCAGTCCTTTCAGTCATGTGCTAAAATGTACATATTTTAAAAATACACCATTCTATTAATGAAACTAGGAATTTCTGAATATTGGTTTAGTACAGGAGAACATCCTTAAATAGCTGTAGTTACAATTTTCTGCGTTGATCAAATAGGTAAGCAGCAATTTCAGAGATTTACAGACAGCCAACAATTTTAGAAAAGAAGTCTAGCCAAGCATTTTTTGTTACCAAATGCATTTGTTTTATACTAGAGTATAAATTACACTAGTCCTAAAAGCTGTAAGAGAAACTAAATACAGACCATCCAAACCGTACAGCTCCAAGTCTAACCTGAAACCTCTTCAATGCCCTTTTTCAGAGTCATAGAAAAATCTCCTGAAAAGTTCCAAACGCAATGAAACGTTTTCTCAAAAAGGTATGTCTTAAAGTGTTCTTATGTCATTGGGAATCATAGCAATGGTTTACAACTTCACCAGAAATAATAATAGCAATAAAGAAACCAAGATTCCATTCCTTTGCCCTTTTCCATTCCATCATGACTTTTAAGAGTTATCCTTTTATATATGGCATATGTGTGTATAGATATATACATACACACACACACACACACACACACACATATTTGTAACTTCCTCCCAATTTTTTTTGTTTGGTTAGTTTTTTGTTGACTCATCTTTATATGCTACTTGGGAGAACAAAACAGACCAAATATATATAGGTGATGAGGACAGGGCTTTCCGCTGTACCAATGAAAACTAATTCAAGAAGCAGAAGGTGATGTATTTATCTAACAGCTCTTCAGAGGAGGTGCTTAAGTGCTGATATAATCCCAGGAAGCAGGCTCTAATGATCATATATCCTTTAATTATCACAACAGTTCAACAGTCAAAACAATTATCTTTTAATTTGCTTGTCAAGATCAAAGTGTCTCACAAGATATTCAAACATAACTTTTCTGAATGGGGGAATCTCACCAGAGGTTTTACTTGCAGTTTACTGCTTATTATATAAAAATATGTGTTATCCTTAAAAACAAGCCTCAAGGCTCGAACTGGGAATATACCTCTGCAGTTAAGAAGCCAACGCTGGTTAGTAAAGTAACTTATTTTTTCAACCGTACCAAAGGAGGTAGAAGAATGGTTTTAACAGAAGAAGGTGGCATGTCCATGCACAATTGGCATCTGCTCAAATTTTAACGGCCATTCCATGTTAACATGTAATGTCATTGGCAATACAAATATGGCACTGCATGATCAAGTAGAGGAAAAAGATGGATTGTGAACAGAATGATTTTTTGAATAATAAAGGATAATAAGTTAAAAGTAATACATTTGGAAAATTGAGGAAATTGAATAGTATGCCTTGTAAACCTTTTTACTAAAGTCAGAGGATGTCATTAATAAAATGCATAAAATTTTAAGAAAGAACTTTCTTAAATATATTGCTTTTGGATATGTCTTAGGAAGCATTATTTTGACATCGTTAATCGTTGTCTTTTTCTTTTTGATAAATGGATTATGCAAAATTAATTCCCTCACTATGTAGATTTAATCCACAACACAGGACCACTCTGTCAGAATTGTTAAGTATTTTGAGATTTCTAATGAATAGATACAAAAAGGCCATACTCAATTAATTTATTAGTTTGAAATTTGAAATTATAAATCAGTCACTCTCTTTATCTACTTTATCTACAGCTTCCTTCATTCGACCAAATCCTACTGTAAAAATGCCCGGAGAAAATCATTATAGGATATTTTTGAAGACAGAGTTTTATCATAATATTCCAAGATGTTAAATAACTCTTCTTCAGTTAGGTTAATGCTGTACTCACGAAGAACCTACAAAAGACAAATAGTAAAATTTATTCCAGTGCTTTGGATTAGCAAAAAGGAAAAAATCAGTTTATCTCACTAAAATTTCTTTAAAAAATAGCTTAATGATTCAGCTCTACTCCGTCTTAGGTTTCTCAAAATATTTCAAAGTCAAACCATCCCTATCATCTCTTAGCTTTCCAATGCCGATATTGACTCCATAGGATGCATTCCTATGGATCCATAGCACATAAAGGGATCCATCCCACAAGTGCTGTGTAAGAAAGCACTTTGGAAATGAGTAGCACCCATGTGCTTTGAAGCTGATTTACAGAAAGTATATATTCAAAAGGCTTTCAGTACTATTTGAAGATGGGACCAAGAGGTTGAATATTCTTCCTTTCTACCCTCCTTGGATGATCTGCATTCTTTGCACCCAGAGTAACAGAGGGAATAATCTAGACCCTCAAACTGTGCAAACCTGTATATATGTAATAATGCTCATGAGGCACTCTGGGCTTTTAATTCTCCAGAGACAAATGCTCAGCCTACAAGCACTCTCTCTGAACT